TCTTTTTGGCAAACTGATGACACTGAATTTTGATGCACTGCCATCATAATATTTTACAAGTTCGTTTGCACTGTGTTTTTTTTTTTTTTTGTAGCTGAGAGTTGATAACTGTTTAGCTTTGGGTAAAACGCAGCGCTTGTCACTGTCACTTTTTACCCAGCTGCCCAGTCAATGGAGGAGGGGGCGGGACAAATACTACACTGACCAATCATCCGACTTGTACAACAACTGAACAACAATAGAGAAGTTAATATTGCTGGTTACTGCATTTTTATATTCAGTAATATTCTTCAAAATGAGATACTAGTATACGTTACTGCCGTGGATATTCCACATCATAGCAACCAAATCGACAGCTGGAAAAATACTGTGCCACCAAAGCATTTTCAAGCGCCACCAGCTGGTCATTTTAAGAAGAGCGCCTGACATTTTTTCGGCTGGCTAAAAACGCTTTGGTGGACAGACGTTATTGTTAGGCATATGGCCTATTAGTCTTTTTTTTGCATTTATGCAATATACTGAAGCCAAACCTGAGAAAGTAGACCTGAATATTCCACTGCGTTCCTGGATACGGAACTTGCGTAGCTGTAATTCATAGGCGGGGATTATGCTAATTGTGAATGAGTGTGCACGAGTGCTCTATTTGCGAATGATTGGAATTCATTAACATACACATGTTTAACTATCTAATCTGATGTGTACGAAGCGTTTGTGAATCTGGAGGAGAGTTTTCAGGATGGTCCATTTTATGCACAAATTACTCAGAATTTACTCCTATATTTACGAATGTTTCATGAATGAGGCCCAATGTGTGTATTAGGCCTATTTAATTACTAAATGAAGTATTTGAAGTCTGTGCGTTTCACTTCGCAAGATACATTTTGTGTAGTAAATTTATCAAACACACCATCCAATGGAGTATACTCCAATAGAGTATACAATAGAGTAATGAGAATGAAATATTAGAAAATAGTAAATATGTTGCGTATGTGTATGATAACGTAGTCCTTATTGGAAACAGCAGTGAAAATGTGTTTTATATGATAATAATAATTAAAAAAAAGAAACAATACATTTTGAGCACCCACCGGCAGAAACATAAATCGGCGCCTATGTTCACAATTGTTGAGATTCGTGCACTGATTTTTGATGTCTCTCTTTGTGTTTAAATGAAATAGTAGTTCAAAATGTTTGTGTCTTATCATGCTTTTGAATTCCTTCATATATGGTTATGAAACTGCTGGATCCTATACTGTATAATCATAGAGCTTTTATAATTAAAAACTTTAGATTAATAACACCTCACAAAGACTGCATACTGAGCAGTGATTCAAAACCTCCTGCTCTGAACTTCAGCTGGTTTATGGAGAATAGTTAAATTTTTGGACTGATAGTGGTTAATAAAGTCAAATAATATTGAAGCCTGCCAGAGAGTCAGACAGTTAGCCTTCCCTCGACCAGGTTAGTTTCCCATTTTCTCTATGGAACAAAATCCAGTTGAACAGGCCGCAGCTAGGAGAAACATATGAGAGAAACATGTTGACTTCATTAGCAATGATGACAGGTCTTGGGTGAATGTGTTCACGTAGATAGTGACAGGAAGTCATCTGCCAGACATCTAAGAAGATGACTCCATCAATGTCTCTGAACATCTCCCGCATCACTGTGTCCAACTGCAGCATGAGCCAATCACTTTGAAAAATATTCTGTAAAAACACAGATCAGAATCAGAACTTTATTGCCAACCCAGATAGAAACATAGTGTCGGTCCAGATCCGGCCCACATCTGGCACGTGTGGAAAGATGTTCTGGCCCACATGTAGCGTGGAATGATGTCACTTGGGCGGACCGCTCCTGTTTGCCAGATCTGGGCCGCAAGCAGGCCATAGCATTGGCACGTCAGCCAAGAGCAAAGAAATAAACCACAAAATCTGTGTATATTAAATATGGAGTCAACTCGGCCTTAATAAGCCCATTATCAAGCATGATCACTAAAGGAAAGAAAAGAACAGAAAAAAAAGAGAAAAATAGAAACATAACAACAACAACTGACTTCAGCCACAGCCTTAGAAATAATCAACTGAAGATAAAAGACATTAAATCTCTGAAGATCTCAGCAGAGGAGGATTAAACAACACAAACAGCATTACCAGCTTCACTTATTATTAATCAGAGTGACTTTATTTCTGTTAGAGTTCTACAGAAGTTCTTTATAACAGGGGTTTAAATCTAATGTCTGTTTAATTTAAGTCGCCATTATGGTAATTAGTGTTTAGCATTAGTTGGACTCTTAACACTTATTATCAATCATTTGTCTTCTTTGGTTGCTGTGACAGTGTGTTTGACAAATGCATTTGCAGTACATGATAGTTTTCTGTTGATGGTTTCACTATTATCATGTAATGGCCTGATTCCCTGATGTCACTTGAATCTAATTGTTGTGTAATTTAACATTTTTACATTACAAACCCTGTGTTACTGCAATGTGAGTTGCAACATCAGTTTGAAGACTTTAAAAAAATGATCACAAAAAGATGAACAAAACTGACACACACAGATATCAGTATCAATAATCGTATCAATTTTGGACTAGGGGTGTCACAATATACTGGTATTAATGATATTTGTAATATTCAAAGCATGATATATCGACATCGTGTTAATTTATGGTGTGACAATATACCAGTATTGGCGATAACCACAATATTTAAAATGAACAGGAATCTTATGATAACACAACACGTAAATACTCCAGCAAGAGCTTAATGGGTATACGGGTACCCAAGTTAATAGGTTAAAGTATCAGTTTTGATGTTAATATTTATTCATCATACTGTTGAACTTGACAGTATTTTCTCTCTTGTTATTTCATAAGGAGCTTCAAAGAAGACAGAGAAAGCCAGAGTCTTGTGCCCTGTGTTTATCGGTATCCCAATGTTCCTTGGGTAAAAGAGAAAAACTAAAAATGTAAATATTAATTTGACTGATAACTTTTTTCCCCCAAGGTCTCTACAGATAGTGTGATGTATCGATATTGTGTATTCTTTTGGCCTCAATAACCGTGGTGTGAAAAATCTAATAACGTGACAGCCAAAAAGCTACAAAAAGCAAAAAATAAAAAATAAATACATGACCCAAAGTTACAATTAAAGAAAATAATAAGACAATTCAGCTGCAAAATCTATTCATGCTGTGATGCATGCTGGGAGTTTTGTACCTTTGTACCCACCATTGTTGAGGTTCATGTGTTGATTTATGATGATTTTGTGTGTTAAGTAAGTTTTACTTTTAT